TTCTTATGTACGGTCTGTGCTTGTTTCTTACAGGGTTGCTATGTAGTCTTCTATTTCATGAAGGACAAAAATCTAATGATGCCAAGCAAATCAGATTGAACAAAAATGTTCTGGAAACCAAGCATATGGGCTTCTTGCTTAAAATAATAATACAAATTACTGGTCAGAGCTGTGGTTTTGTGCAACCTTTATTTGTGAAAACAAGAAAATATGTTTTTTCAAAACTTTTTTGCATTATGATTTCAAAGCATTTACAGAAGTCAAAACTAGATTGCACCATCGGTTCTCAAACTTTCTACATTGTGAGCTACAGTTTTGAGACTCGAATACTATGTGCAAAATCATTAGGCAAGTGAGCCTTTTGGCCATGTCATTTGAAAAGTCTTTCAAGGGAAGACATCACTTTTGAAGTTGGAAAAATATCAAATAATGATAAATGTTGCATACAATCAACTGGGATGTAATATATGTTGAGTGAAAGAAATATCCAGAAGAATCAGATATGAAACTACCAAGAAGCCTGTCCCCTGTAGTCTACCTACCCAGAAATAGGATTTTGTTTTCAGATCTCAGAGACATAGTTGAGGTAAGAAAGTCTAAGAATCAACCACAACTAAACAAGACATATGTAGTTGACATGCCAAAACTAACACAAGAAATGTCTAAAGACAGTTTTATGAACTCATGATTGATGACTCTGGCTGAATCTGATGTCTTCAACTTCAATATTAGATTATGACTTGGGTATGTTCTGGCATTATTAAAGATCATGTAGTTGGATCAATTTGGATTGCAAAATGACTCCAATCAGCTCCCAGTCATAATGTCTGTGATTTAGAAGTCACTTCCTTCAAACTGTGGTATGAGAAAAAGTCACCATTGCTCAAGAAGGTATTGTATGCTTTTTATTCTCAACGATGTTCAATTACATGCATCAAAGCAAGCCAAAAAAGATCTAAAAGTCCAATGAGATGAACCCCCTTCCTCACCTTGCTTGACTTCACCTTGTGGGATCTTTTCATTTTAAAGTGAAGGAAAATAGTTGAAAAGTGTCGAGCAGACTGTGTTTGAAGACACCATTTCAGCCTTTTGGGTAACAATAAATGCTTAATTATTACAATTATAATTAGCCCTTTATATGGCAATTTTCATTCAAATTGCACACCAGCCTGTGGTTTTGAGATTGTAACATCTGCATTTGCCTGTGCTTTTTACATCAGAATCCATTGGTCTTTTTTGTTTTTCTCACAACTCTACTACTCTTGTTGTCCAATTGCAAACACGTTGCACCAATTTAGAGTCCAACTTGACATTCTGCACAACCTTTAAAGTTTTGTTTTGTAGAATGCAGAAACTGGTCTTGCAACATCATGATGCCATCTCCACTAACATCAGAAGCCTTTCATTTTTAACATGTAATTTTATATTGTCGTCCAGCCTCTGTAGGACTGCTTTGTTGCAACACTAAAACTGTGGAACATTACTACTTTGGCCATTTTGAGAAACTGTTGATGGGATTTCACTTTGTGAACTTGTCTCAAGTGGTCAGTGATTGGACAGTAATTTTCAGAAATGGAAGCTGTAATGTTCTGCTTAGTTCAAGATTGGGTTGAAGAGCTAGCAAATCCAGGAAGGAAATTCATACTTCCCAGAGACACTTCTTCTAGAAGATGGTGTTGAAAGGTCAGAAATAATATACACTCACCAAAACTTTGAACACCTTTCTAGTACTGCTTCTGACCACTTCTTGCCCCCAGACCTTCCTCAATTCAGTGTGGAATCAGAAATATTCCTCTCAGATTGACATGGGCCATGTTGACAAGGGCCAAGTTGATTGTTTTTGCCTTATGGTGGCTGGACCTTTGGACATGAACTATAGCAATGCAGCTTTTAACATTGACATTTTATTAAATACTATGGCAAAACTATGTTTAAGTAGACCCCTCATGTTATCCTGACAACTCAAATTATAATCATTATTCTTCTTATTTCTCATGTCATCCAGTCTTTCTCTGTCTCTCTCCATCTCACACTTCATTTCTCCTGTAGAGGTGATGTAGGTGAAGTAGTTCAGTGTTCTCACTCATTTTCACATAATATGTCCTTCCATCATTCTCTCCTGCTCGTTTTCTGGCTCTTTTTAATAAAACTCACTCACCGACTGAGCTGTCTCTTTGATAGCGTGGCCTCCTGTAGATCTATCATTGTGGCAAACCCATTTAAATGTTAAACGACCTCCACGAGAAGGTTCATCTGTGCAAACGGCTTTTTCTGTCATTGGGTGGATTTGATAGAGTTAATGTAGCAAAGAATCAAACACCTTTTATAGCCACGAATGGAAACAGAAATGCAGAGGCTCACTGCAGTTTGTGCTTTCATCATTACACAGAAAATGTGTCCCTATCACAGCTGTATAGCTGGAATAATAGAAATGTTTTATGAAAGTGTTGTGTGAGTTAAAGGTTTGTATGTTGTGCTTGTGTAATGTTCCATGAAAAACAAAGACTTGTTTAAGGTCAATGTTAAGTCAAGCCAAGTTGTTTTACCGCAGAGACGTCCAAAAAATAGACTCTGAAGTCTGAAGAATTTCCCACAAAATTATATTTAAAAAAGTAAGTTATTGAAGCTCAGTTACTGTTTGCAAATGGATTTTTATCAGCCAAACATGTATTTGCATGTGAAGGGAAACCATGTAAGCTTTTCTGAGTACCCCTGCTTAAGTTGAATTTGCTCTCGTATTTGTTATCTTTGAAGCTTAAGAGAACTTAAAATCATGAATAACACAGGGTGGGAGTAAAACCAAATAAAAGTGGCAGAAAACAAATAAAATGGATGTTGTAAAAAAGTTTCAGCCAGTGAAAGCGTTTTCATTGCAATTATAAGCAGAGAATGGCTAACATTTTTCACCAGTTCTTTTTTTTTTTTTTCTTTCTCTCCAAGGTCGGGGAGCTTCCTATCGGGTCTGGACAGTCAGTTATTCTTCCAGCAGGGAAAACTGTTTTCTGCAGAGCTGAGGACTTTATGTCGGCTTAACGCTGTTAAACCTACAATCCCCACAGGCAAACAGCAGTGTTTAAACTTAACACTCCTGACCCACAAAAACGCTCACTCTCATACACATATTGCATTCATCCATTTTCATTGACAGCTACATAAACAGATATTGACAGTCTGTGAGACTGACAAATCTACAGCTGCAGGAATTTAGATTAAATTACGAAAACATTAATACATTGCTTTGTTCAGTGTAACAAATATGCTACAACTTTTGTATTCATGTTTGTTATTCTCAGATTTTTAGATATTTTTAAATAAAACAATATTAAATTAATTAATACTCCTTCTGTTGGTCAAACCAATTAGACCTCCCTCTGAACTAAAAATTGTGTTAAATATTGCACCTTGATATTAGTAAATATGTAAGAGCAAAGCAAATGACAAAAGACAAGAGCTCATCAAGTTGTGCAAAGCTATAATATTTTAATATAAAACTTATTTTAAAATCAAGAACCACACCACAGAGTCAATCATTTAATATTTGTAAAGCACAAATTAAGCCAAACTTTGTACAAAATATACTTGAATACAGTATGCAAATTCACTGTTTTGGGAAAAGTTTCCTACAACAGCCTGTATGCTTTATTTTTAAACTCATATGGACAATTGAGTATTTTTAATAGATATTTAATATTCTGAGAAACACATTTAATTGTAGCTATTAGTTTGTGACGTTAGCTACAGCATTCTTAGTTATCCAGCAGGACTGTGACCTAGAACGCAATACCAGGTCAGAGGTCTAGGGGCCAAATAATATATGGAAAATGACCATGTTAGCATGGATATCATTTCTTCCTCATTTGGATATTTAGTTTGCAGGGAGGGAAAACATTCCACTGTCAAATGTCAACTGATGTATTTGAACATTCCGGAATACATACAAGACCCATTCATTAAATTAGGATATTACTGAAAAGTAACACCATCCCCAAATGAAGCACATTATATCGATTATTCAGACAGACTGATATTATATGACCTTTGTTTCTCTTAATCATGATAATAATCTACCAATTAAAACAACAAAATGTTATATTAGGCCAAAAAAATATACAAATGTGGGCTAATTTGTTGAATGAATCTCGACATTGTCTGTGTTGCAATGTCTTAAAAGTAAAATATTGCTGCAAAACTGTACAGAAACAGTAGTGAGATACAATTTGATTTGTTTTGAATTTTAAATTTTGTTTTCTTGGACTGGAAGGTATATTAGAAAATATAACAAACCACTTATTTCTAACATTTTGCAAATATGTTTGAGATGAAATAACATTATATCCAAGAACAAGGTATTATTGGAAAAATATCATATTCCATATGAGCTGAAACCATGACAGCTCTCCTGCTGAGCCATCACAGGTTTCAAACGTACACTTTAATCTGGACACTCTCTTTGTTTAGAGTATTTTTTTTCCCTTTAATTGTGTCCCACACTTGGTGATTACTGCCATACAGCTGCCCTTATGATATGGTGTTTTTCACTATCTTTTTTTTTTTTTACCTCAACAATCCATCAGTGGTTCTTTTCTTCTTTTTTTTTATCAGGTTTACAATTGTTCTCTTTTATATTCTCCTCAGCTTTTGTCCTTCGGGCTCTCTGTGTTGGCTGTATTCTTCAATTACCTCTTGTAAAATGCAGAACTTTTATTGATATTGCTGAGCTGAAAGAGGGAGAAATTGGTGCATAAAAGCAGACAGTCCAAATGGCTTTTCTCTTTTTCTTTAGACTTGTTTTTCTTCTGACCATTTTTTAGTCATAGAGAAATTTAGCTGAAAAGCACCCTGTGCTTCTTTCTCGAAAATGGAAAAGCTTTTAGTTCAGCTTTTGGAGACTATTCACGTCCAAGAAGACGAACTCTGTCACCCAGTTTTCAGCCATCTCCTCACATCATTAATGCATCTCACCTGATCTGCAGGATCTTTTTCTTCTTTTTTTCCTCTAGAAAGACGAGTTGTCTCGTTTGCGTGGCGTGGTTTTAGAGAACGGGAAGGAGCAGCTGATGTTTGAGGTTCCCCTCAATGACACTGGCTCGGCGGGACTTGGCGTCAGCCTGAAGGGAAACAAGTCCAGGGAGACGGGAGAGGATCTGGGAATTTTCATCAAATCCATCATTCATGGAGGAGCTGCATACAAGGTAACTATCGGTTAATCAAAAATACAATTTAAAGCCATTTATTATCTTTCGGTTTAAGATGTCTTGCAACAGTGTTGTTTGTTTGATTGTACACCGTTGAGATTTTCTCATTCTGTCGCATATCAACTACAAACCTCAACTTATTTTTGGTATTTTGTGAGCAACCAGAAATAAAATAATACATGCTTTTCAAAAATCCAAATAGAATTGGGTGCAGAGTTACTATCCATTTTATTAAATGTTATCCACAGTTCACTTGTAGGCGTGTAAGAAACCTTAGAGGAACAGCAACATGAAACACAAGGAACACAGTGGGCGGTTTAGGGGAACAGCTGTGGAGAGATTTGAAAGCGCGATTAGGTTATAAAATAATGTTCCAAGCTTTGAACACAACTACTCTAGATTGGTAAATCTATCATTTGAAAATGAAAAGAGTAACACAGCAGCAAACCTTCAAAGACATGGCCATCCAGCCAAACTACAAGTGGCTACAGCTCAAGGAAGAGAGGATGATGTTTGGCCTTTGTGCATGAGTGACAAATTCCTGAAAGAAAGCTGTCCTCTCATATTTGAGGTTCAGTATTTGCAAATTTTTCTGAGAAACATGGCTTTAGATTATTCTCAGACAAAAATTATTTTGCAGAGAATATCTGAAATATTGTAAAGATTAAAAAAAAATGCAACTTGGGAAGCTGAAATACTTAAACTCAATGGTACTTGAGACACTATTGGATGGCGATTATGAAGTAAGCAATTCAGGTGCACCATTTTTGTTGGCACTGATTGGCTGAACCCCCTAAGAGTAGAGATAAGAAAGATATGATCATTTGTCCCAAAGCGATTTTCACTGCGCATAATAATGCAAATTAAAGCATACTTAATATGCAAAGTAATTTCTCTGAATATGTCCCAGTCAAAGTCAAGAGCTGCATTAAATTGTGGATTCATGATATCGCTTCAAAGTTGCTCTTTTTCTAGTGTGACTAAACTTCAGCCCTTTGAAAAACCCGTAGCTATATTTTTAAGTTCTTATAGAAAGTAGTGACTTTGTGAAATTGGTTACAAAGGAACTTGTATGAAAAAGGGAAAATTTGTATCATTTTCCTTCCTCTGCATATTTATCAATAGCTTTATGTTGCTTTCTGAAATAAAATCCGATTCAATTCACTTAAGTTTGTGGTTGTAATGTAAAAAAGATGTGAAAACCTTCAAGGTTAGACACTTTACCTAAATACTTAACTAACTCAGTCCGTTAGATGTGGTTCGTCTCTTACTGCCTCACTTGCATTCAGGCGCACTTCATGGCTTAAAGGATCAAAGCGTAACATCATGGAGATAAAAAGCAGAAAATAAACGTTTGACTACCAGATGGTCTCAATGGGTCACTTCAAATGTTTCTTCTTCCCTGTGGCTTTCTGCTTCTTTTCTGTTCACCTCTGACCTTTTCCTCATCAGGAAGCAGGTGATGCTTCTTAACAGCTGAGACAAACAGGCAAGCAAATTTATACACGTTAAACTACTCTGACTGCAGCTGTTTGGGCTACAGACCTTATAACTTAAATAGAAAGCATTAGGAATAATCGTTAAGAGACATCCAACAGTGGGAGTCACTGTGGTGAAGGCTGAGTTGTGTCATTTAGTCATGGGAGTATGAGAATACTGTGCCATATGATCTTTTGATGTTTTGGTCTTTGGGGTGTGTATTTTCATGTTTTTCTGAGTATTGATATGTCTGAAATAAAATGGTGCGCGTTTACAGGACGGGCGGCTGCATATCAATGATCAGCTCATCGCCGTAAATGGAGAGTCACTGCTGGGACGCTCCAACCATGCAGCCATGGAGACACTCCGACGATCGATGTCGCAGGAAGGAAACGTTAGAGGGATGATTCAGTTGGTGGTGCTGAGGAATTTAAAGGTACATTGCTACTTAATTTAACTAACTTCAAAGCAAAAAAAAAAAAAAAAAAAAAACATTGGTTAAGATGCTTCAGAATCTACTCTACTTTACTTTAACAGTTAGCTAAAAATGATTGGAAAACAGGCCTCAAAAAAGACCTGTTTTCTTGTTTTTTCCATAACATGGGAAGAGCGTGGAAACTCCACGATAAAACTAGCACAAGACAACAGTGATAGCAACTGCACCAGCATGCAGGCTTTGATTAGAATCCAGCGGAACTAGAATGACATGGAAATGTGGAAAAAATAAATTTTTCAAGCAGGATTTAAAAGACTATACTGTCTCTGCAGAACAGATTTCAAGGGACAGGTTGTACCTGAACAGACTGATGCTCTGAAGCTGATGGGTGTTATCCATACGAGCGTTCCACTTTTTAACCAATCGAAAAATGAGACAAGGGCTTTGTTGTTTCTATTACCATCATTTTTTTTATCTGAAATTTTTTTTTTTTTCATCCAAACTCAGTGATTACTGCAAGTCTATCTGTAAATTAATGCTTGCGCTCATTCAGATTGGACCGTGAGGTGTGTTCCTTGGTTTCCAGGATGCTGTTTTGTGCCTTTACAGAATAGCTGTTTTTTATACAGAGACCTAATTAGTCAGGCGAGCTGGAGGAACAGAAATGCATGTCACCCTTTTCAGATTTTAGTTGTAAAACATTTTCAACCATTTATAATTCAGTTTGCACATCACAATTATGTACTTGATTGTATTGTTCTATCACATAAAGTTCCAATAAATGTTACATGTTAGATGTCGCTGAAGTTTGTAGTTGCAATGTGAAAAATATGTGCAAAGGCTCAGAAGATTCGACATGTGGTCTTTTCTATTCCTTGGCGGGCTCTTAGAGGTTTTTTTTTTTTTCTGAAGTCAGTTTAATATGCCGTTTCTGCACAAGCCTTTCAGCCTTGCTATCCATTCTTCTGATTCTTGCCCCCAGCCTTTCTGCTCTGCTTTCTGTTGCTACCAGAATCAGCAGCAAAAAGAGCATTTACACGTCAGCCTTTCAAATTTCGTGTTTGAGTTCTTCGTTATATGAGTGTTCTTGACTCAGATATGTCTCTTTGTGAGTCGAAAGAAAAAAAAAAGCTTTTAATCTCATCGTCTTTTCAGTTGATGCCATTTTACAAGGCCACACAGTCTGTTTGCACAAGCCTCCTGCTCATATTCAGCCAGGTGAATAGGCCCTCGCAGGACTGGCTGGAAAAATACTAAATGCAGAGTTTGCATTGTGTCCTCCCCCCAAATACGCAATTAGAATTAATAAGAGGGACTGTAGAGTTAGCTCTGTCTGCTATTGATACAATTTAAATGAACAGAGTTTTGCAACCTAACAGGTATCATAGTAAAGTAGCAAAGGTAAAAATGATCCCTTTCCAGCTTTTTACAATGTTGTGAAAAGTGTGTTTCAGCTAAATGTTATAAACTGATGGCTAAATATTCTAAATTCAGATATGTTCCTACAACCCCACTAGTAATAATTGGTTAAATTTTCTCTGCAAACTTCAGCAGGCCTGTCATGATAATAAATTTTGCTGGATGATAAATTGTCCCAGGAGTTATTGTGATAAACGGTACTCTTGTTTTAAGACCATTTTAAGTATTATAATGGAAATGGCATAATTTTGCAAATACACCTTCTCAAAGATCAATAAACTTTAATTTCTAACAAACTTTAATTTCCTGGTATTGGAAAACATTTCAGATGTCCTAAATAGATTAACAAAACACCCAAAACAACAAATAAAATTTATTTCACAAACGTGGATATTTGAGATCAATTCAGTAGACTTCTGTCATCCGGTCTTTAATTGAAAGAGAGAGACGAGGTAAACAAACAATCATGCAAATGGAAATTATTGAGCTTGTTTTAATTTGTGATGCAATTAATTGATTTATTTCTTATGGTGACAGGATTAAACTTGATCACACTTTTCAGTTGTCAACAAGCTTTCCTCATATCTCTGGCTGGCTATTTAACTCTGCTTCTTGTCAGGAATGGAGCTCTCACTTATTTCAGTTTGTTTCTTGAAATTAATCTAACTTTGCACAGTTAATGCTTGTTCAACAACATTCTGTTGGGGATTTTGGAATGGTCTTTCCAGAATATTAAAAGTTATCTGGCATTATCCCTTCAAAATCAAGTTGTAATGTGTTGCTTGGGATGACTGTCTTGTAGAAGCACTCTATTGGATTCATGTTCCAGTCATCTATTGGCTTATTTGAGATTAAGAAGATAAAAAAAAAAAAAAAAACTTGGATGTGCTTTGTCCACTTAGTGAAATGCACCAGAACTGCAGCAAGACAGCACGATTCTGCTGGCACCATATGCATCTTTTTTCCCATATTGCTTAGTCTTTATCTCACCTGACTTTAAGATATTTCTATGGTAAACTGTGACATTTCCATATGTTTAGCTGCATCACAGATGCTACTTTATTGGGTAGCATCTGTGATGCAGATGCAGCTCTCCAAAAATGGGAATGTAGAACTATGTCGATATCCAGCACCCTTCTCCCTAACGGGGCCGGGAGGTGCTGGTGCCCATCTCCAGCTGTGTTCTGGGTGAGAGGCGGGAGACACCCTGCACAGGTCGCTAGTCTGTCGCAGACTATGTCGATATCTCTGAAATATATTGCATTAACTAACCTTTTATGATTAGGTACATTATTTATTTAGATTCTGGCCTGTTTTGAAGTGCAATTCTCCTAATTACTTTCAGTTCATTCATTATTTCTAGCATGATTTTGTTTTGACACTACAGGCCAAGTCAGCATCGTTATTTAATATAAACTTGGAAAGTATAATAATTGCATAAAGCTGTGAAATAATCTAATTTACTGCCACTTCTTTAGTCACATTCATGGGTTAATGAAGTAACAATAATAATAATAATAATAATAATAATAATAATAATAATAATAATAATAATAACCTGATGTAATTAAAGAATGTTTGCTAAAACTTTGACTTTTTTTTTTAACCCAGTGTATAATTTATGGACTTCTTGTGGTTGCTGTGAGACCATTTATCTCTTGAGAGAAATCTGATTCATCCAACGGGATGTCGACCAAACTGAAGAATGATGCGTCTTGGAGGGGCTGCTCAAGCGCTAGCCACTGGTGTTCAGTGCGAGGTCAAGAGTGGGATGACAAGGAGGATTTATTACACACACACACTGACACCGCTGCTATGTCTTCTTTGTTGTTTGAGATGAGAGCTCATCCAACACGGATGAGCACAAACACATTGTTTTACAAATTCAAAAAGACACACAGATGGATGCATATTAATGAGAATGAACATCAGTTTTTTTCTACACACACAGAAGACAAATAAATGCAAATTAAATCCCCAAAGAAATTGTCAGGAAAAAAAAAAAGAAAAACTTACGAAGAGTGTAATCCATTCTTTGTTTGAGCATTAGAGGGGCCCTCAGAGGGCTCTCCAAGCAGGGGAAAGGTGTCGGTGTGATGGTTAGTGCCACACAAACATTGAAAAGTGAAGCACTGCTGAAGATGCTTCCAACTCAACGGGGCGTGGGAAAAGAGTCCTCCACTGTCCTCTGGCTACTTTTAAAGTTTCCCAATCCTGCTGGGATAGACAATTATAAGAAGCTCTTCTCTATTCATCCAGTTAAAGATGCAACAATCAGAATTTTGTGGCCTATTTTCAAACTCCAGCATTTGTAAAACTTTACCCTGCGGATAAGGACTTTAGATTATTCTGATTTCTTTTTAATAACTAAAGACCTACGAACTGCCTTTAATTTATTTTTTTTTTTTGTCTTTCTGCCTTCATTTGTCTTTAATTGTGAAGGAGATGACATTGCGTGACTGTGTGAGAGAAACAATAGTAGTTTTACTATCATATTATATTAAGACAAAATGATTGGTGACTTCTAAACTTGCTTTGTATCTTATTTTAGAAATTAACATTGTTTGCATCGCTAACATTACTTAAACATTTCTCTCTGGAGCTTAGCCATAAGTTTGAAATTTCTTAAATTCAACCACCAGCTTTGCAGCAATATGTTCAGCCTGCATGGCATTTGATGAAAGTCTTGCTCTCTCTCGCTTTCTTGCAGCCTGAATTAAGAGCAGACATGGCACAGAAAATGGATTCTTTTAAATAGCTTATTTATGCCTCTGGCTTTATTTTGCATATCACTGATTCTAAAAATAGTTACCCTGAGTTTTTTTTTTTTTTCTTTTTTTACACAACATGAATTTAACAGACAATCTAAACATTACTCATGTACTATACACTTATTATTCCTTTGAACAATATTAAGCAATCTTAATTTGTTAACATTTATTTTATCAGGGGGAAAAAATACCCCATTTTTTATTTGCAGTCATCTGTGGTTATCTTTGTACATTATCTGTGTTTGTGAATATAAATGCTGTTGTGGAAATACTTAGTAATATTTATTATGCTTCCTTTTAGGATCAATATGAGGTGTCACCCAATCGCTCCTTTGACAGTTCGTCTGGTGTACCAGGACTTATCAGCCCATTCAAAAGTCAGACAGGCTTCGTCAGTCAAGCCCCAGACTCTGTCCACCATCCCACACAGGTGTCCAACCCCATCTATTCCTCCAGTGGTGAGTGTAGCTTTTTTCATATCTGTTCTTTCTCTACCACTCAACCCGCTTATAAACTAGCTTGAGGTTAATGCATTTGTATCTACATTTAGCACAGATAAAGGACAGAATTCATGCACAGTAACAAAAACCTTTTGAATATGTGAGAAAGACAAACTGTAAATAAACAATAAAAGAACTTTAGGAAAGGGAAGTTATTTCAGACTTTTGAGAGAAATCCCACAACAACTAAATGTAGGCATAACCTTATGTTGATCTTTCTTACTGTCCATTCTTACAAAGCATCCTTTAAAATATGTCTGTAGCTGGTTACCTCTATCTAAGTGACTGATTTGTTTTTTCAACATTTAAAGACCATTTTAAAGATCGCACACAAATAGGGTGGAATAGTAAAAGAAAATGTACAATTGCAGTGGTAGAGCAAGAAAGTGCTGTCCAGAGTAACTGAAGAGGATTTGGATGAAGCACTTTTTTTCTGTGACAAATTTCTTACGTTACATGCAGCACAACAAACAAACAGTTTCCCTTATTAGTATTTTTGGCAAACTGATCCAAATGCCACAAACATCAGCTTGTAATTTGAGTTTCATTGCGCAATCTTAGACTTGTTCACATAAAAATAATCAACAATCATTTAAATGATTTTTCCACACAACTTCCAGCTACAAAAGCTCATCATCAACTGTAAATAAATTATAAAAACGTGCGCACAGTTCTTGCATAAACCGTTTGGAAGTTTTGGCTTGACTTGTCTAAAATGGTTCTTGATTGTCAAAATTAACTGCTGCTGGGCAAAACGTTGAAAATTACTTTTTGGTATCAGAAGCAGTTCTTTAAGTGATTTGATGAGTTTTTATTCTTTTCTCCTTCTAAAACCTTTTGGGCTAAAGTCGGCTTCTTAAACTGCATTTGAAGGCAGCATTAATTCCAAAATGAAAACACATCAGCCCGTTTTTGTTTGGTAATTATAGCCTCACCACAGGTTTAATTACAGTAATCTACACTGAGCATTGTTCTCCCGTAATAAAGTCATCAGCGTCTGTGGGAGAAATATGACTGTACACATACCTAAATGATTCTACTTCTACTCTTCTACATTTAAAACCACTGGAGAAGCCCTGTGTAGATTTTTACTAATTGTCTGTTTCCGATGCATAGCCACAGTGTAGATACACTCAAATATAACCTGGAAGTTGTCTTCCGATTTCCTCTGAGGAAGGTATATTAACCACTCATGACAATACATCACTAACATTAAAACCTAACTTTAAAGAATAACACGTAAGCTCACCTGCTGCAACATATATGTAGTCTAGACACAACACAAAGTCTTGTAAAGAATAAATCCTACAACAAAAGTTGGAGTTGGACAACTTATCATGGTTAATTCTGGTGATGTAACTACTGGGCAGAAAATCACTACTCAGAAATAAGCCTTGGAGTAGAGTGGTTAGCCTATCCAGCTGATGAGGCTTAAAGGTAATACATCTAAATACCATCTGCATCAAAGTGATAAGAAATGGTTTTAATAGATTAAATGATGCCAGCTAAAGGGAACATATAGTAAGCTACTTGTAATGGACCCACAACAGATCCTTGTGGAATCCCACTTGTTCAACTTGTTTGCCATAATAGAGAAATGGCTACAATGTTTTCAAAATGGATAGTTTTGAAAATGATAGTTTTGAAATTGGCCAGTAATTAGCAACAAATCTGCCATCAAGATTGGGTTTCTTTAAAAGAGGCATAACTTTGAATGTTTAAAATAATATAGACAAAACTGTGCCTTAGTGAGCTGTTAAAGATCAACAACAGTGAAGAATTCATGTTTGTAATATCTCTAAGGAGCATGATGAGGGTTTCATTTTGCCAATAGATGCAGCCAAGTCATTAAGTGTAATTGTGCAAAAAAAAAAAAAGGAAATGACTCCAAGCACTGATAATCATCAGCATAAGGAAGAGAACTCAGGCAGATTTTAGATTTTAAGTCCATTACCTTATTCACAAAATAATTCAGAAATGTGTTGTTGGTGGTGTCAAATAATACCGAAGCGTCCTTCCCACTGTAATTTATGAGATTACGGAAATAAGAGTAAAGAAGCTCTTTGAAGAACTCACAATGGACATCTGAACCCTCGGACCTCCACAGGCTTTCTGCTTTTTAACAGGAACGCAAAAGGCCTTGAATTGATTGTTTTACCACAGTGAGGAAGAAATAACAGAGCCGTGATTAGTTTTATAAGGAGCAAGCCCATGCATGGCTTTCCAAGGCAGTGTTCCTTAAAATAATTAATGAGGACATTAATAGTATCATCAAAGATATGTAAAACTGAAAAAAGAAGCACAAACTTAAAATAAAAAAGACTTGGTAACTTTCAACATTAAAAGAGAGTAAGGAGGACAACTTAATTTATGTGCAAATTATGAAGACCTGAGTTTAGCTTGCTACCACATGGTGGGCTGATATTGTGAGGGAGGAAAAGTTTTATTTAAAATGAAGCAACGGATGGAATCATGGGGTTAGCAAGTTTCCAAAGCAACTAGATACCATTTGAAAGCCAAGTGGTTGATTTTAGAGTCGTGGCAGGAAAAGAAAGCTTTTTTGTCTTCCCAAGATTAACGTAAATGTCTGGAGTTTGCGAAAAACAACTGGAATTTCGGCTGAAACCATGTGCTTGTTAAAAATGCCAAAATAACATGGAGTTTTGTTTATCGACAGGCATTCCAAGTGGGTCTGGTGTCATAATGTTGATTTTCAAGCAATTTTGCTTTTCTGATTTCTTTTTTGCTTTTTTTTCAGAATGATGGAAAAAAAGCCTGATTAAAGTTCTGTGAATTATGAGAACAAGTCTCATGACTCAGAGTTCAGATTTTAATCTCAGACTTTTAGATTTTTTTCAGTATTTTTCTCTCAGAATTTTGAGATTAAAAAAAGAAAAAAAGTCTGAAAAAATGTCTCAATTTTGTATTTTTCCAATGGCTGTAGACAAATCTGATGAACAAAGTAAATTTTCTAACTTCTCAATGTCCTTTCTGTCATATTCTTCCACTGTAGCTGCTTCTTCGCCTGTGTTATTTGTGTGTAATAATCGTGTGTAACTATTTTTTGTGTGTTCCTGTATTTCTCATGTTGTGGTGGATATAAATTCGTTTGCCACAGTAAGTTAACAGAACAGATTCCCACAATATTAGATTTGTTAGCTTTTTTTTTTTTTTTTAGAACAGTTGGTTAGGGTTTAGTGAGCGCTGGTTGTGGTAAGTCTTTAGGATATAAATGTAAATTATTGTTCCATCGCTTGTGCGCTCGTCATTGTTCTCTCTGCTTATTTGTTTGAAAGTGTGCCTTTTTGGTCCTGCATGATATCTCTGCTTGTTTTGAGTCGTGTTATTCTCTGTTGTGTGTGGGTGTGTGCATGTGGATGTGTTGGTTCAGGGATTTTTTTGCCCAGTATCAGACAGTGTTGGTTTTATTTGTCTGTGTGTTTACACTGAATCCGGCAAACAGCTCTGACCTTGAATACACTTCGCTGTTCAAACTCGCCTCAGCTATAGTGTCATTTGGATGAACATGGTGGTACGTGTTTGCATTTCTAAGCCTGTGTTTGTGTACAGTAGGCACATATCTTAGGCTCTCTGAGTTATTTTGCTTGCTTGGTTGTTTATCTTTGTGCATTAGTGTGTGTTTGTGCCTGCCAGTGTTTTACTCTACTAATGAACTGTTTCATACTCTGAATTCATTTCATTTGGCACTAAGGTCCAAATTAAAATTGTATTTAGTTATTTTTCCAAGAAGAATAAATTGAAAATAAAGAATCACTACATATGTATTTATGCAGATGTGTTATTTATGCATGTATGCTGTAGATTTCAATAATTATTTAATTCACTGCATTTTATTACATCTGTTACTAGGATCCTTTGCCTTAACTTTTTTCACCTTGTTTTTTTTTTCTGTTTTTATTGTTTTCCCTTAGAGAGGTACAAGCTTGAATACGTTCAACTGTTGTTCTCATTGTTTGTAATTTCTCTGTTAAATCGTGTAACTTGCATTAGAGTAGAAATGCGTAGCAATAAAAATAAAAAATTTCAGTGGAAAATTCAGGTATACCAGAAACAAAACAACATGTAGATTTACACACATAAAATAACTTTATTTTTTATTTGTTTGGACTGTGGAGTAGACTTTTAAAACACTGGTCTTTACTTGCAAAATAAAAAAAATAAAAAAAGACAAAACAAAAAAAACATTTATGTCTTGTTAAAATGTGCGAGTGACTGAGAGATAATGTGTTATGGTCTAATAGAATCAAACTTTGAATATAGGGTTACTTGCCTTCAGATGTGTAAGGGGCCTTTATCAATGTGAGCAAAGTCATGAACAGTCCCAAGTACAAGTCAATTTTGGACTAAAACATTAAGGTATCTGAAGATGAAGACTTCTTTTATTTTTCTTTAGCATCTCATGAGCATACATCCAAAATCCCCTGAAAAATATGTGCATAAAATGAAGATAAGATGACTGCTTCCAACAGGTATATTTGTTTTTCAGTGGAATTGGGTGTGATTTATTTAATTGTTTGTGGAGAAGGTCTTTGAAATGATTTCATCGTAAAAAGCTGGCATTTCAACACAAGTGTGTACACTTAACCCCCTGTTAAGTTCAAACTGGATTATGGATAAAAGCAGACATTTATACATGTTTGTTCAAGCTAAACTAAATCTGATGGTGACCAACACGACCTCACATTCAAATCCAAAAAAGCCACATTGTTTTTTCATGGTTTGCAAAACAGACTAGCTGCAGACAAACACAGCTGACAGAAAGGAATAGTTGAGTGTAGAAGAAGACAATTTGTCTATCTGCTGTTGGGGAAAACTGTTATTGATCTATCATCCACAACAAATGCCTTTTCTCTTGAAATAGCGGGAGTCAGTGAAAACAGATTTCTGCGTGTGTGAGGTGAAATAAAAAATGTGTTTTTGACAGTTTGGCTGATTAAGGTGCTCACAGTGAAGAGGAGAAGGAAGGGAGTTCAGGGGGGGAGAGAATAAAAAGCTGAAAACTGAGAGGGAGATAAAATGATTTATGGGAGATCTGAGAGGAGAGATAAATGGCAGCCAAAATATCAGATTGCAAGAAAAGGAGCTGGAGAAAAATAAAGCAGGTGATTAGTGTGGAAAGAGGGAGGAAGGGATGGAGATGAAGGCGGCGTGATATCTTCAGACGTGCCTGTCTTCCCCTGCAGTTCCAAACGTCTCTGCTTTCAGACGCACGTGTGCAGATGCAAGCAGATAAAGGGCATTCAGCGAAGTGATGTGCAGTAATTCTAGCTTGTGTTGTGCAGCAGCAATGCACTCCGAGAAGTGATGACTGTATGTAAATGGCACGGGAGAGGATTTTGTGTCTGTGTATCAAGTTGTCATAAGCCCAGACAAAGCCATATCAGTGTGAAACATCTGCTCCATCTTCAGCTGCCTTTTCATCATCTCTCTTTTTTTCTTTTACTTGGCTTCGCTCATCTGTACATGTTTTTTTTTTTTTTTTACTTTCGTCTCTTAACTTTTCTGAGAAATAAGTACTGGCAGATTTTGAAAACATTGCTCAAACCGGAACAAAGTGTAGGCAATTTAAAGTCTTATAGTCCATAAGCTTCAAATGTGGCTCAAAAAACCCCGTTTTCCCAAATGATGGAAGCAGCTGGAGGTTTACCCATAAATTATGACGAGGATAACCGATAACCTTCCGGCTCGGCTCTGTTTATGTCTTCCATTAGATCCATAATGGAAGTTTTTTTTCAGCCTTTCTTAAAATCCATCTCATGTAAGTCTTTTTGGAACAATGGACTCAAACCAGCACCTTACCGCTGTGCTGCAAGTCTATTTTCACCCACCTTTCACTCATGTTCTATTGAGCAGCAGTAGCTCCACTTAGGAGGCTTTCAGACGCAGTATTGAGCTCCAGGTTGCCGACGTTTTGGAAGCACTCCGAGCCTAGAATGCGGGAAAATAGATTTTAAGCCCAACAGTAGTGCTCTTGTAGTGTTTACGGGGTCTGGTGCGTAAGTACAGCACAGGCTATTATGTTGGCAGATGGATTGATTAAAGCAGGTGTTCAGATCAGATATTTGAGAGACAAAAAAGCTGCAACGGGTGGACCGTCTCTCTAGTGTTCAAAAAATATTTCTTGGAAAAGATGTTAAAACATTCTAATTTATTTATTGTTGTATCAGAATAATTTCACATGTGAAATATTCCTTAATATCTAAGATTTAATTAGATTTTTCTGATTTAATCAGGTAAAATAATTCACTGGTACCACAATAACTGGTACTTTGATCTTAAAATATGTTAAAAAATTGGAGCATACAGAAATCGGGCTCTTCAACTGTCTTTCTTATCACAGTTCCCCCATTTTGGAGGCCATCATTTCATTTTTTCATAGGGTAACATGAGGGATAAACATTTATGATTTTTATAAAAATTTACGTTTGTGCATTGAGTCCAATTCAAATCTGTGTGGACCGAAGTGGAGGGAAGTACACCTCAGTATGTTGGAGTCTTTATAGTCATGCTTTTCGACTGTGGGAGGAAGAAACCCCAACATTTCTTTTCCTTTTTCAAGCTCAGTGATTATAAAAAAAAAAAATGTAAAGATACAGTTTTTTTTTTTTTTTTTAACTCAAGTCTGATATTGAGCTGTGGACATCTGGGTTTCCTCCACAAACAGAACATCAGACTTCAATTAATAAATGCCAGAGGAAAACTAAACAGTTTCTTTTTTTGTTTTGTTTTTGGTCTATTTAGGATTTTTTGTGACACTAGTTGTCTTTATTCATAGTGATTTAAATAGGAAATGGCAAACAGAAAAGGGAGAAAGACATGCAGAGTAGTTCCTGAGGTCAGGAGATGATTGCTGGATAGCTGATGGCCTCCTTACATGGTGGTCCAGCTTTTTTTCTCGCCATGCACCACTACAATTTGGAATATTTTTACTTAAAACACTCACTTCAACCTTTGACATTTTGGACGCCGTCATCCATGTTATGTTTGTGTTTCTACTGCAGTGAGAGTCAAAACAACAGACTCAATATCTGATTGGCATGTAAACTGTGTTCATGACAACCAATAAGTATTACAAACTTAAAAATAGTACTAATTTACACAATTTTATTGTAATAATGATAAACTGTCAACATATTTTCAAAATAGAAAACTGTGCATCACTTTTTTTTAATTTGAGATGACATCAGTGCAAATGCATACAACCCTAAAAGCAAAAGACTGCAGCCGCCTTTAAAATAAAAACCCATTTGCATAAAGTTTAAAACAACTTCACTCATTCATTTATTGTGAGAAAGAGGTCAGGTCACAAAACTATTTCTCTCTGTTTTTATGTCCTTCTCTCTGTTTTCCAGTCATACTAGGAAGGCTGTAAATGATGTTAAAAGAAAATAATACTGTCTGGTTAGAACACCAGGCTAGTTGTTTGACCAGATAGTTGTTGATGGTGTCATATTAGTGACAGTTTGCCAACTTTTCTATGAAATGCACAGTAAAAACGGCAAATTTTCTTAAAATTCCATTATTGATTTGTAAAAGCAATACAAATGGTAAAACATTCAGGTGAATACTTTTCATAGGCTCTGTATTTTACACCAGACGTACCTGGTGTAAAATTCACCAGGTAGGTTTTTTTAGTCTGTTGCTAAAAACATAATTTTAGTGACTTTGATCAAATTACACAACTGCAGTTAAAGTCCCTGTAGCATTTTAAAAAATCCACACATTTTATTTCTATTGTAAGGAAGAAAGATGTTTTTTTCTGACATGCCTCCAAAAACAACCAGCTGGGGTGTAGCACCATCTAATTTTCGTTGTGGAGACTTGGTGACCCCTGAACGACACATTCTGCTGCAGGTTTTTTTGGGGGATATTTTACCGCCCTCATTATCTGCCTTAATGTGCACAATGGCAAGATAAACATGGGTGGTTCATCCTGCTCAGTGACCAGTGGATAAGAGAAATTGGTGTTTGTGTCACATCATATTGATACCCACAGAACAAAATGTCATGGGATGGGTTTGTTTTCTTTCTCGTTGAATAGTCCACGATTCATAATTCATTTTATATATATTTTTTTTATGTCCTTGACTTGTCTAGTCACTTCCCTTGGGTGCATTTTTTCAAAGCAAATCACCAAAAATACACTCTCAGTTAAATGTGAAGATATAAATATTTATCCCAGCTGTGACACAGCAGAGCATTAGCTTCATTCATTCTCTCTGTGGAAATATAATTTATTATCATAAACATCAGCGTAATCTGATTCCAAACGTAGGAAAAATTTGTTTTGGTTGGCTTTATTATATTAATCCAGGTTATCTTATTTTGTTTTCTGCTTTTCAGTGACCAATGGGAGTTATTTTCACATGGACGAGGAGGAAGATGAGGCAGTGCTGTACGGGCAAGATGTGGAGATCAGCAGCTCTAATCAGCCCTTCTTCTTACAGGAAAGGTGTGCTTGAGCTTTTTTACCAGAGTTCTCATACAAAAAAGCTTTTCTCTGTCTGATAATTAAACTCAAGCAAGGACTACTGTCTTTACTAATCACTTTTTATCAGCTTCCTGTTCTCTGCATGGAAGAAAGTCACATTTATTGTCTCGATTCAATCATAATTCATGTGAAGATGAACATATTTTTTGATTGGTTGAATTTAAGGTCACCGGGAATATGTTAAATTTCAGAATCTGAGTTCAGAGTTCATTTATTGTGTTTTTATTTATTCAAAAAAAATATGGGAAACCACCTTCATCATGCCAATGGAAAACAACTTGGAAAAATATTACAATCACAAACTGTGGAAAAGAAAAAGTATTGGATAAAAACAATGGGTGACATATAATTAATTGCTATTGAATCGTGTATATATATGTTTTTTTGTTTTTTTTTTCTAACCACCTTCTCATTCATCTTTTGCAGTGAAAGCTCTAAGGCCCAGCCTCAGTCTCCCACCCAGAACCAGTTCCAGCACATCAAAGCCTCTAAAAGCATGGACCTGGGTACGACTCAAAACCAGCATCACACTGGTGGGGTGATTTTCTTGTTTATCTGTTCTGCATGATGGCCGCATGCATCTCATCTTCGTCTGGAAAGATTCCCTGCTGATGCATGGCTGCTGCATTGGCAGCACAAACTGCATGCAGACTGACATCAATGCAAGCTTGGATACATACATTTTGAATCTGTTGAATCCACTTCTTATATAATGTGTGATGGGTTTTTTTGCGTTTGTTGTATTACTAACACACTCACATTATTGTCAAAATCTCTAACAGAAAGATAACACTGTCAATGGTTTGATAATTGATAGGATTTGTATGTTTTCATTTTTTTCTCCGTTCCTAGTCAATTTTTAGTCAAAGCTCATATTTGGTGTAAAATTAAAAGAGAATGTCAGGATGGGTCTTTTATTTCTGAACCAAATGTCAGAACAGGAACTTTAAACCACCGTAATGACGCTTTTGCTGACATCTCTGTCACCTGTTGCTCCCTGATTGCTGATGTTCTTGTGCAAGTGCTGAGTGACATTTCAGTTATTGTTAAAAAGTCAGCTCAGAAATGAGCATGTGCACACTTACGTCTATTCCTTTGCATACATCAGCGCAACATGACAGCGGTCGCAGCAGTGCAACAAAAGTGTTTTGTTTCAAATGTCACTTTGCTCAGTCCTCCTCCTCGACTTCGCTCAGCTGCCAGATGTGAGCGAGTGTCTGCATGTGGATTCGAACAAAAGAGAGAAAGAAATTCATGTGAACTACACAAACATTCATTTCTACACAAATACCATGCTGATGATACGTTTTCAGGGCTTTGCTTAAATTCTTTTGTTGTTTTACACTTTTAGATGCAGATTTACTATGAGTCAGTTTTAGTGTAAATTGGTATTGCTGTCTAGTCACAACTCTAAATTTAGTCAAATTAAGTAGACAAGGAGAGAAGGAGATTTAGCACTTTTCAACCAAGCTGTTTGTAAAGTGAAGTTGTTTGATTTCTCACATGTTGCATATTCCTTTTCTCCAAAGTAAGGTTGCTGCAATTAAATCATCCTTACTTTCAAGGGTTTATTTAAATTATTGCAATGATAATTCTGGACAATGGAGAGAAAAAATAAAAAGGCTAGAACTGTGTATTTAAAGGCACACGGGCATCTTCTTATAATGACTCCAAAATGGACTATAAAACTATCCTCTCTACTCTTAAACACAGTTAACTTTAGCTTCAATCAGAAAATATCTCATTGTATGCACAAGTGCCTTTTCATCAGCATATGCAAATGAGATAAGATTTGCCTCATTAGCACTTCAGTCTTTTCAAATTAAAAAAGTTGACTATCGGAACTGTAAAATATCGGTTACACAGATGCACACAGATGCCACCATAATTAAATAATATTTCTTTCTTGATGTACGAGTTGAATGCCTTAAAGAGTCTAAAAGTTAATTCTGTGCAGAACATTTTAAACTTAATTCATTATCAGCGAGCTTAACTTGCTATGCTTTAATTAAAGTAATCATTCAAACTCAGCTGCTTTGGCTATTCCTATATCTAAGATAAAAAAAAAAGATAGTAAGTTGGTTTAGTTGGACTTAAGAATTAATTTATTGAAGATGATTACTTGCTACGTTCACCAGTGTGTAGTAATTAGAGGAGATATGGACATATGATCAGTAGATCTTAAGATCAAGATTCTTGCTTCTTTTTCAAGGATTTTAAATGACACCATAAATGAACGTTTCCAGACATGATCAGGTGATATTGCACATTGCAAAAAATATAATTAACATATGTAACACAAAGTGCCTTTTTTTGCATTCTGACAAATTAAGCAACACTAATTTACCAGGATGCGGTTAAGCAGAGATTTCATGCTTTTTCAGATGTTGTAAAACACTTTTAGATTTTTATGGGTCAGCTACATAATTTATTTTGTTTTTGTTGGTCTTTATTTTACAGCCAAACACAATAAAACTTTTAAAATTAGTTAAAATTTTTATTTCCTTTTGTTCCACTGCACCTGCTCGTACTTCGTCTTGTCAGCGATATTTCTTTTCTTTAATTGTATTATTTCTCCGTCCAAAAAAAAGCTCTAAATGACGCTAAAAAAAGATTTATATTGGTTTTAAAGGCCTGGTTTAGGTTTCTGTGGTTATTGTTGTGTGTATTGGTTCAGTTCTACTAGTCAGTGCCGGAAACGTGGGAGGAGCAACAATGTGATGGAGTTAGAGGGTAATTACCTTTTGGAAAGATGATCAAAGCAGCGACTATATCAGGAGCGCAGAGCCGGATGGAGAGTGACTGAAGAAAAATGAAAACATTGAAAAGAATGCCAAGAGGTTAAAGGTTAAAAAGGTCAGAAGGGGGATACATGGTTGGCAGCAACTTAAAAATGAGGGAGAGGAGGCAGGATGAATGTAAAATGAAGCAGAGGCTGACGGGAGGACAGAAAAGTGTTTCAGTAGCAGTGAAGCCGTCTTAACATCACAGGAAAGAAGGGTAGCATGTCGGCCATCTTGTAAAATGAGACATGAAGAATAATTGTTAGGTAGGGAATGACGAACTAAGCACGAGTAACAGATGCTAAGAGAGAGAAAAATAAAATGTAGAAACAACATTAACTTAACATTAATATCAGTTTTCTGTGTGCGTTTTTTCTTTCAGTGGCCGATGAGAACAACATTAGATCCCTGGATGGAAGCACTTCTGGTGAGACATTTTATTTTAGTTCAACTGCAACTAAAAATAAATTATATTGTAATGCATTATACGTACAGACCTCGCAGCAGTTTAGTAAATCATTTCTGTATACCAACGTGTTCTATAGTCTGCCAAACTGTCCAACAAGTGAAGCTTGTCCACATTTGTCTCATGCATGCTATGAAGTAATGAAGTAATGTTCCAATTAGTAAATTGGACAAAAAATCCTTTGCAGTGATGAGAGATTGCTCATTTGCAGTATGATAGCGTAAATCAATTTCCCTTCCAGTGCTTATGTCAGATCTACAAATTCATATTTGCTTTTTCATTTGGTCTCTTCTGTCCCTGATAATTACTTGTTGCTGTAGACAAAGCAAATTACATGAGGGACACAAACTGTCATTCATATGGAAATGAAATTGAAGAATTGTTGTAGAAAGAGAGAATCCATTTCTCTGTGACATAGACAGACGCTTTTATGTATTGAAATGGATGAATTATGGAAGGACACACTCAACTCAAAGGAAAGCTCAGGTGCACACATGGTTGATGCTTCTTCAAGAGCTCTTGCTTTGGGAGCCTACAGACGTATATATTTTTAAAAGTTTCATCTCAAACTTTGCTCTTTGCCTTGAAGTCTCTTCTGTTTCATTTGTAGCTACTTGAATGTAAGAGCACTCTTCGCTGCACTCTATATGGGTCCCTCTTCCTGCATGCCACCTTTTTTTCTTGTCAATCAGCCTGTTTCCCGCATTCAGCTACGCCTCAGTTTTAGACATGGTGGTACACAATTTTATTATGGCCATACTCTTTCTGTAAGGCTGCCAGCATGTTAATGTAAGGAGCATGAAAGAAGAAAATGTAGAAAAAAAAAAATACCAACCTGAGTTTTATTTTATTACAGCACAAATACATAAAACATAAGACTTTTTGTTCCTCTCTGCAAAAAAGTTTCTTTCTTCTTATATTTTAGTTATTTGCCTGCCTTCAGAGCTTCAGAGCTTGCTAAGCTTATTTGCAGCTGCTAGATATATAGACAAAAGAACATCATGCAAAACTGAGCAGCACAGAAAATGTGCAGTCTTTCTGCATTAGCCTTTGATAACATACAGAAAATGTGTTTAAATTAGGTTTTATTATCTGTGTTTTATGATGTTAAATGGTGTAAAATGAAACTGTTTCTATTAATGATGTGTTTTATATTCTGATACCTGGAGAATAGGATTTTTTTCTCTCTTTGACAGCTTGTAATTAGGGTAAACCGTGTGACTAAGTTATGGAGCATGACCACATTTATTTATGTATTTATTTATTTTTGTCCTGAGGCAACCAGTGAGTTCTTAATTTTGGTCTGGTTTATTTTACTTTGGTGTGGACTACAGCTCATTTTTCCAACATTTGTATATGTTGGATAGATGGGAGAAAATATATCCCTTTCAAACAATTCTTCCACTGAATGTAAACAGATCTGATCAGTTTTGGCTGCAAATTAAATCACATTTATCAAGCCACAGTTACTAGATTAGCTGCTCTTCCTGAAAAGTCACAAAATATATGAAATTTGATTTTAGCATTTCCAAGTCCCAAGGATAAGAAAGGAACAAAAACATGTCTTTTCTCTGATGCTTCTCACTTCCGATTCTTTTTTTCTGGAAAACATCTGACATTCTTAAATTTATAGGATTTTGTGAAAAAAGTGGCCTTTATTTATTTGTAGCTGGACAGAAAATAGGGCAGACATGCAGTAAAAGATCAGTGACCGGGAATCAAACCCAGGACTCTTGCTGCTTCTGTAGCCTCTGAATGTTGCTCCTGCTGTACCACTGAGCTCTAGATGTTTCACTTGCTTCGTTAAATGTTCTGCAGCAAAATTTTTATAATCTTTAATTTGCTTTTTCTTCCTGAGTGGAGTTGTATGCAGTGGGTCTATAAAAGTCTATAATTCCTGTTCTTCATGAATCTTCTGCAAGTGACCATATGCTTCTTGGACATTTTTTTTTTTTCATTATTAATTTGGCTCATGTGGCAAAAATCTTGCAGGTAGCGCATGTTGTTGTCAAGGGTAGTCGTTCTTAGCAGTTTCATTTTATAGCCCAGACAATTTTTAAACATGATCAGAACCAATTCCTTCACTTTCTTTCACCAGTGGGGTTGAAAAGATCTTCCTTTGACCCATCACAGCATGCTCAATTCAATTAGGACTAAAACTGGTTATATTAGTTAAGGGGATCCCTCAAATACTAAACCCCAAACACTAAAAACAACATTGAAACAAAAACACCAGAAACGTGCTCTTACATAGACAAAAAGGTAAAATTATCTACATTGATATTTTAGTAGAAATAAGTCTGAACTAGTTATTTCACCAGCAAGATTTCAACCGAATTAGACATCTCCACAAACAGGTCAAGTTACATTATTTTTGCTGAAGCCAACTTTCTGTATGCAGGACCTGTTGCTTACGGAAGCGACATGTTTAACAGTTTGTGCCAGCAAACACGACACCGCTTTTTTCCCCTCCCAAAACTTTTTTTTTGCACAATCGTATTGTTTATGAGACAACCACATCCAGTAGCTCTGTGCTGGTCAGGCTGCTCTGGGGATGAGATAAAAGGCAATATAAGGTGGAATCCTGGAAAATATGCAATTGTGAGACAATGACTTCTGGGAATGCTGTTCTCTCTTCCAGCAATGGTTTTCTCTTTCCACACCTCAAGAGACCACCAGACATTCACACTTTTGCACTCACACACACACAACAATCATTATGTTTAACGATGGTAATGGAAAGTCTTCGTCATCCTGTGGAAAATATGAACTTTGGGAGATTTCACAATATAATTTACCAATGGCTAAGATTCAGATTGGTGGAAACTGGGAACTGTTTAAAATGTGTCTGCATTTGTGGAAGAGAGAACCCAGAAAGTTGCATTTTTAGAAACCAAAAGAATTCAGCAAATGTCTGGAAATGTTCATTTATGGATTTTTATCAAATATAATTAGTTACAATGAAATGGAGTCTAAACAAAGTGATTTTGTGGTCAGTTATTCCTCATGTCTTTGCGGCAGCAGGGAGAAATCAAGTCATCTTTGTAAACGGAAACATGAATAATTTTACGGCTAAAAAGAGAAGAGGTTCTTTTAGGTCTTTGAAATTCATTTTGGTTGTTTTTACTCTAGGACTTTCCTAGAGAAAACAGACAAACTGTCTGCTGGGTGAGTGTGTGACTGTGGCTCAGTGGGAAAAGTAGTCTCACAATCTGAAAGTTGTGGGTTTGATTCCATCTTTTTCCCATCATATGTGGATGAAGTCCATTTAACACGAATAAAAGGTTGGCATATTTAATTCTCCATACAATAAATAATTAAAACATAAAAGTTTAACCTTTTATTTGTTTGATGCGAAAAAGATGAAACATTTTTTGTTGATATTCAAATTTACTGATTGAGCACCTGAATTCAAATCAAAGAGGTAAAGATTGCATCATGTTGGAGTAATTTTACATCAAAATATTTACCATGATTGAACTGTTTTCACTTGAGATTTTATTTTGACATACTATTATAGCAACTTACCCAAGGTTGAAATCTTGGTTAGATGTACAGTCATTTGTATTTGATACAACAAATTAATAAAAAAAATAAATAAATAAATAAAAACTTAAGAATGTTATTTCAAGATAATGACAATCAAGTTCTTTTTATCGCAAGATAATCATATTAGTAACATGTTCTTGTGCGATATGAGTAACACTCACAAAATTTGGGCTCTTACTGAAAATCCACAGGCACATTTGTACAGCTTTTATTGCTGAGACCACAGCGATAAAAATCCCTATCGATCATCAGCTATTACAGTCAAATAAAGTCTCAAAATAACCTAAAATATCTGAAACTTGCAGCCTAGAAAAGTGTGTAATTTTGAAATGGAAATTGTGTAGGAACCATGTCTTTAATTCTTTCAACTAGAACATCACAAATCCTGCTAAGATGACATAAGTGAAACAAATGCAGCTGTGTTTCTTTTTCTGAGTGAGTAAGACATTCTGCAGCCCTCGGTGTTTGTACACCTTCAAATCAGTGTGTGAAAGATGTGTTCTTGTTAGACCAAATGGTTAGGAATGAATATCTGGCAGAATCACAAATACAAGGTTCATACATGGCCCTAAATTCACTGGAAAAATTGGTCATTTGTTTTTTTGTACTTTCCAAGTCTGGGTAAGTGTGGAAAAATAAACTGGAGTAGAAATCCATGTTCCCAATTATTATTTTTTCTTTCCATTGCTAAAAAGATTAAAATTTTAATTTACATATTTTTTTCATAAAATATAGACACCCCTGAAAAGTCTCAGTGCCACTACAATGAATGCCACATATGTCAAAAAGTGTTGCAAACTTTAAAACTTTACTTTCTTTCTGCCTGTTCATAAATTAATTTCTAAACCAGCATCATGTTTCATTGACGACAACTTGGACCCTGTGAGCAAGACTGGAAAATACTTCAGAAAATATTTTGATGATTTCCATACATTCTTTCAGACCAATAAAGCATTAATTTCAGATGGTTTTATAGAGGTTGATGATTCTTTTCTTAAATTTTGTCAGTGCAATAAAACATAATTCATTAATACTGTAACGGAAGGTAAACTTAAAGGATCATTGTACAACAGAGTAGTCATGTGTTGCGTCATTCCGTCCAGGACGCACTGCAGGGAAAATAAACATTTAATCATGAATGCCAATGCACTTTGTCATTTTGATAACAGGCTAAACTAGCTAATCTAACCACTTAAAGCTTCTTTTGTCTTCATTATCAATCTTACATAAGGTTTTTAATTTTTATAAATTTTTTTAACATGGCTCTTTCAGCATGTTGGGTTGCCCACCCCTGGCCTAGTGCAAGCAGTGAACAGCCCAAAAATTTGACTGAAAATTGAAATTATTGGACAATATTTAGTTTTGAAATGCACTCGTGTGTTTTCTCGTCCAACACACAGTCCCACTTGCTCAAATGTGTGTCTGTACTTGTGAGTAGACGCTAGCCAAGTTTTTGCAATGCTTTAAAGCAGCATTAAATGGATGCAGTGCTCGTCTGCTGTGGTTGTAGTGCTCTGTATTCTCAGTTTTTCCTTCCTCCGACAGCTCTATCTGTCTCTGCCTCGCTCTCATTCCCTCATTTCTTTGCCAGTGCCATTCAGGCTTAGCGTCTGGCAAACAGGCAGAGAAGCTTATAGGACGGACATCATCTCTCTGTGTGCATGTGTCAGGGGGTCCATGTGATGCTGAGGGACGCTGGTGCAGCCTATTGTCTGAATCTGTCCCCAGTGGATGTTTGACTTTGAAAAGCATCACACACTGATGAGGCGCTGCCAGATTTGTGTCTTTGGAGAGCTGCATTCGCTCCTAGTCCCGCTTCTGCTTCCTCCTTTTCTGCGATTGTGTCTTCATTTCTTTCCGCATCTCCGTCTTTCTCTGTTTTTTTTTTTTCTTTTGTTGTTTTTTTTTTTTCTGGTGTCGTCTTGGTTTGCATTGTTTCCAGGTCTCTCTGGCTCTCGCAGACTTTGCTTTGGATTTAACTTAAAAGCCACCTTGTTAGGACTGATGCGGATTGATGGATTCATTTGTCTCAGGGAGTGCAACTCAATTTGTTCGCCTGTGTCGTCAGACACTACACGATTCCGGCACACATTAGCTCCTCACAGCCGACATTAGATAAAGAATTCAAACAGCTGAACTAAGCAGTTGTGTATTTCATTTCACCCCTGTACATTATGGGCCTGTGCGCATGCAGGTGTTCAATCCTGAAAGCATTCTTTCCATGCTCTTTCCATGGCATTTGTTGTGTGTTCATCACATGTGGAAGCATCACTGTTTCTCTGTGAAGGGTTGGCCGCTCCTCTGTATATTGAATGGCCTTTGACCCTTATCCATCTCCCCCAGTAAGCTAATAAAGGTGAGAAGTAATCAGAAGATGGTCAGTGCTGTCGTTTCTTACTGGCACAGTCATTCATCTCTCTTGGGTTTTATGTAGTGATCACTGACATGTGCTGGACCCTATTTTATATCAAGTTTGAGAAGAAGAAAGGCCATTCGTTTCCCTCAATTAACTGTCAGATAATATTTTGAGGGAAGTCGATATCTTCAGAATAAATGTACGGTCCTTCTGGTCTTTGAGATCGTGATTAATTGCCTGGCAGGCATAGTTGTGTTCAGAATAATAGCAGTCCGACATCACTAACCAGATCAATCGGTGTTTCTGTTTTCTATATTTATAGATGGTATTTTATTACTTTTTTCATTTCTTTGATTGTAGTAGCATACTAGCAAACCAAACAGCCATGACATGCTGATGATTTTTTTGCAGTTGACTTGTTAATTAAAAGGTGAATTTCTAAAATATTATTGTGGAGTTCAATCAGTATGATCAGTTATTTTCTGAAGAAAAATAAAATCACTAAAAGCAATTGGTCCTTGTTTAAGAATGAAGGTAACAATTGCTGGTTTTAGTCCTCTCTCAAAATCTGAGCAAAATGACTCCATTGTGAAGTTTGGAATTTGTCTTTTTATTTACAATGTATGACTTTTCAAGAAAAAAATAATCTTCTTGAAGAAGTTTTTTTCTTGAAAATATGTGAAATGAATCTCAAAAGGGTTTTTTTTTTTTTTTTTGCAAAAACGTTATTTTTTCTTTTATCTACAATGATTAAAAACTAGAAATGTAATTGATTGAAATCAGCAGAATTTGTAATTTAAAGGAAAGTTTTCGGTGGCCTCTTTGCCTTTTAAAACCGTTATTTCACTACAACAATTATAATGCAGGCATGTTGAACATCAAACCTGATTTCTGTTTGGAAGTTGAAAGCACTTCAGGAACTCTTCTCCATATCCGACATCATTACACAGCAGATACACACATGCAAACTGTCAAATATTTACACCTAAATCATTTCAAGTAAACAGCTATTTCACTATACTGAATACATAGTTCCATTGTTTATTATGTGAGGAATTGTGTGTATATGTCTTTCAGAACATTCCAGGACTGGGTTGGGTTATACAAGGGATGTGATATATTTCATAAATATTAGCCTGTAACGCTGAGGGATTTCTACTCTAGGGAAAGAAACGACAGGACAGCTGAATTTTATCCCAACTAAAACTCCAATCTTCTCCCTTTATTACTGCGTATGTATAGTGAAGCAGACAAAAATAGTTACGTCTTTATTTGGGGCCCCAGTGTGTTTAGTGCTCCAGAAGTTGGGGTTGTTGGTAAGTCTGCTGGCTTTGTAAGCTGAAGCCTGCTGATAAGCTGCTCCTTGGTGTAATTTTGACTTTGAAAGTAGCCCACTGCTTTTTCTGCCAACAAAGTAGCTTTGGGATCACTTGGCATTCTTTCTCTCTCTCTCTTTGTGGCTTTCTTTTTAATTTTTAATTTATGTTTTGGTTGTAGTTGTTCTTTTCCTTTTTTTTCTATTTGTCATTGCCCTATTATCACTCCCATCTGTTCATTCCCAGGATCAGTGTCTGTTTTTTCTGTACCCATCTTCCAGAGTTTTGTTGATATTTACCCCACTTTCTGACTCTGCTGATCTCCCCCAAAACGATTTTGGTACTCTTGTCTTTCTTGTCATCCCTCCCTCTCTCTAAAAGCTGCTTAATGCTATCTTCTTGCAGTTGCGCCACAGTAATTACATTTCTGACACAAATCCTGCTTCTCACAGCAGAAATGTTTGAGCGAGAGGGAGAGTGTGAGTGAATGGTCAACGATCTCCCTGTGTGTGTTAGGATGTAAGAAATGTTTTGTGTTTATTCCCCGATTTACTTACCTGACATCATGCAGGTGACTTGTGAGAAAAAAACAATCCTTCTCTGGATTTAGATGCAGAAGTCGGTTCACATGCTGGGAATTCCTGAATTTACTCACAGTTGACGACTGAACCCTTTTTTTAAATAAAAAAGTCATACCTAACAATTTCCACTTCTTGTATTTCAATGCATTTTATTGTGTTTGTGTAATGCATAAATGTAAAATTTAAAGCGTTGTTTTACAAAGATTTTTAGATAAAACTATCTGAAAAGTTTAGCGTGCATTTGTATTCAGGCTCTTTTACTCCAATACCCTTGAATAAAACCCAGTGATAGCAGTTGCCTTTAGCAGTCACTTTGGTATTTAATAAAGCAGCCTGCCTCTGAGTGACATATGGAGTGTGTTTATGGATGAGAGCCTCACACTCTGTGGCCTTTGTCCGTGTCTTTGAGAAGCAGGCCTGCATTATGCATGTGCATACTTTTACTGTTTGTTATTACTCTTTGTGTGATTCTATGGTTAATGGTTGTTTAAATAGATGTGGAAGTCACATCAGCCATCTCATCTCCTTCACTCTCAGAGCTTTCTCTCACACACACACACGCGCACACAACCATCAGTGTGTATAGGGAATCATTAGCTAAAGTGATGCAAGTTTAGCTATCATGAATCAAAGTGGCATCATATCGACAAGCTAGAGCCAGCAAGGAATCCAAAGTGTGTGGTGTGTGTGTGTGTGTTTGTGAGAGAGGATTACTAGTATTTTGCGCTGGCAGCCGGCCCAGCTTTCCTCTTTTCGTCTTCCATTTTTCTACTCTCTCCTTCCTGCCACCAGGGTTTTCCCTGGTGATATTCCCTGCAGGAAAATTTAATTTGCTCTCCCCCTGTGTCGCCCTCTCTGCTGCCCATTTTTTCCTTATCTTGGATATCATCAGTGTCTTAGTTGTTGTAAATGGCGCATGGTGCCAGTCCCGAAACCCTTATCCTTCTTTGTTAGCTTCAATCGACAAAACTTGATATTATTAATTAAAAAGATTTTTTTATCACTCATTATAAACTGTTTTTTTTTTTTTTTAATATTTGGAAGTGTAGCTCCACTACATGTCTGGTTTCTATCCTGTGAATAGGTCCAACATGCTTCTGTCATCGTAAAGCTCTTCATCAACCTCTGGGCTCGATCCCTCCCTCCTTTAGTAATACGTCTTTCCCTACACTAGACTTGAGATGATGGATAGAAAGCCAACAACTGTGAAGCAAACCTGGAATCCATCAAAGCCCCAACAACTGTAAATTTCACTACATCAGATGTTTTTTTTCTGCTGTTTTCCAGAGTTCAGCCATGTCATGTTCTTTTTAGTTTCCAGTCAGTATCAACTTAGGCATTTAACCTAATCAGAGCAATATACTGCAAGGATGTTTGATTGCATAAAACTGAAGCAAAGCATTTGCATTTTTGTCCCATGGTATTTGAGTTCTTTGTCTTCTGTAACAACTTGTTTCTGGTTTCCACCAGCTCCATGTACGCCTGTCGAACTCGGACCAACTCTTGGTTTGAAGAAGTCCAGTTCGTTGGAGAGCCTCCAGACAGCCATGTCAGAGGTCAACAAGAAAAACGAAATGCTCCCTTTCCACCGCCCTCGCCCAAATATGGTCAGAGGACGAGGATGCAATGAGAGCTTCAGGGCAGCTATCGATAAATCCTATGATGGCCCAGCTGAAGATGATGATGGTAAGAGTTATGTGGCAATATGTGTTTTTTTGCCACATAATGTTTTGGACTTCCACAGTTAATATTCACTGGAGGCGCTTTCTATTACAGCATGGTAATAATACGGTTATAGTTAGGAACAAAAATGTTAAGAAAAGTCATACTAACAGTGACATGGGTATATTTAGAAAAGAAGGAAGCTTTTCTTTCACACTTTACAAATTACCACAACAAATCACAGTTTAATTGAGATTTCATTTTCAGCTGTTTAGGCATGACAACGTTTGCATAAGATTTCCTTCTGTATTTTATTCAATTCCAACTTGTCTGAGATCAGTTTCATCTCTCTCCCCTTCACTATGCTTTTCACTGTTGGAGGCTGCCTTTTCATTAAAATGTTCAAATTTTACTCCAGACCTCAACTTATCTTCAATAAGTTTCTTTGCCAAAAAGGCATGTAAAAATAACTTTTACGATGTAAATGAAGCCCATGTAAATTATAAAGACAATAATATCATGCACTTTACTCAAATTATTATTATCTGATTATATTCTGATTTCTTTAATCGCTGTTGCTTCCCTTGCTGCTGTTTAACTTCACTGTCAATGGGAATAGTTGTACGACTTCTCTTTCTGTGATGCATTTTCAAAGCACTTCATACGTCGCCATTTCCAAAGTAACAGAGATTTCTATCTTTAAATTTTGCATCTAATCGCTCGCATTCATCTTCGGTGCCTTTAGGTGAATTTTTCCACCCGGTGATTGATGCATTCTCGGCTTACCTCCACGCGCAAGGCGTTCCTGGATCACATTTTCTCCAACAAAGTGTGACAAGATTCTTGCAGCAGGCGCCTCATGCCTCAAAACATCAACACATATTCAATTCCCAGCTGCATTATTAGCAGCTAACTCTTATCAGTCACCACCACAGTAATGAGTCGGCCTGTTTCAGATCACTACGCTCACACAGGATAAGAGTAATAGGGCATGTCAACACCACACATGCAGTGGCCACATCTGTCACCGTCTTTCTAACTGTTCAGCACTTTCAGAGTTGCTGATATTTGACACAGTGCACTTTTGTGAAGCACTGAGTATCTTTCATTCTTTGTATTTACTTCTTTCCAATTGTGCATGTCTGATAGACTGTTACTTTGTTGTCAGATAAGCACAGTAGGTTTAAAAATTACTTTAATTGTGCATCGTCAACTGAATTTCACATTTTATTTTCTCCTGGGCAGAAGTGTTTGACAAAACTCGGAACTGCCAAATGTATTGTCAGGGACGGCACTGTGTAATATCTACCAGAATGCATGACTGCTTCACATATTACTACTTCCAGTACAGAAAGGTCCCCGTGGTTTGTGAAAATACTCATCTGATTCTGATATGAATTTGTTTTAATATGATATATTTTACACTTTAGTTTAGATGACTATTTATTGCAAGTGTCACCAGAGCTGTTTAGCCAAGCAGGCAGTGGCAGAGCACCTGCAAGTCTCACTGTCGATCAGTATTTTGTAGTTTTGTCACTCCAGCTTGTTTAAATGAACCATAGTAACCGAGTTTTCAACCCAACAAAAACATTTTTCCTGAGATGCCATCTGTCACCCCATAAATGCTGTAAGTCCTTCTATGGTTACTCCAAAAAGTCACTTGAAGCCAACAGACACACTGCACTGTGTTAAAGTAAACTCTGCAGTTGGGAGCAGTTAAAATACCAATATACAATCAGGCAGCAGCTGCAGCTCAAATCCTTTTGCATTCATTTGGCTCAGAAATTAAAACAAAAAAAATAGAATGGCTCTGCATTGCAACCACAGTAAGCCTGTACAGAGCTGCCACAGATTTGTTTCATCATTTGATTCATGGGATTTTTCAGAACAGCTGATCAGAAGCCAGTTTTACCCTTGCTTTGTGCTGCTCTGGTAACGTGTCTCCACCGATTCAGACACGTTTGTCATTTAATGTGATGAAATTGCAACCAACACATGCTTTGATGCTCAATGAAGATAATGTGGGACAGATTTGTGAGTAATGTTCATAATTACATCATGAAATAAGAAATGCAATAGATAGATGGATATATGAATAAATGGATAGAATGAGCAGGATTGATTTTGTAACGTTCCTTCCACATAACTACCGACTCCAAAACCAAAGTTTCACTTTATATTGAGATTTCTATTGATTACGCTTACAACCAAAATAGCAAAAAGCAGAATAACTCATGCTTTGTGGAAAAATTCAAACCCCTTTGACCAATAAGCAAACCTCTAACATCTGACCAGCTTATAAACCTTCAAACACAAAACAAAGCTAAATGAGAACAGTTGACACAGACTGAGAGCAAGCATACGAGCTGAGCACCAATAAACTGACCCATTGTTTCCACACTGCAGTGGTGACATTTGTTGCAAGTTACTGTTTAAGATTAAAAAAAAATTCCACAAGATGATGGGAAAATGTTGAATGACTTATACTTGATTGAGTAGTACAATGAAGGCTACAAGGCTGAAATAAATTACAGATTCTTTTGTTGCTATTTTATTGCTCCAAGTCCTGCCATGGTTGCAGGCTCTGTATAAAGTCTTAACGTCTCCATGACTCCATCATTAGCACATGTTCCTCCTGAGTTTTCAACGTGTTTTCCTCCTTTTGTAAGTTCATCAGCCAAACTCACAAAATGTGATCAATTTTTAAGGTGACAAACTAACATCTCTTTATCCAGGATGACTCCCCACATTGGTTGTTTGTTTAACATGTCTTTGTTTAGAAAGCATCCAGTTCATGAATTTCTTTGAAATTTATTAATTTCAAGGAAATTAATCTCATAATCTGAGATGCTTTTCTTTGAACATCTCTGACTCCAAAAAATATCAAAAAATGCAGAGGTAGCAGGAAGTGAGTCGGGGTGTGATGCAGTTTGGAGTCTTAGTGTCAGAAAGAGTAAAAGGTTTTGACAGAAGCCAATTTTATGATGTAAAGTCAACTTTCTGTGTTGTTTTTTCTACCGTATTTTCATTTTGCTGTAGAGGTCAAAATAACACGTCATCTCTTAATGTTTATGATTTAGTGCTGCATATCAGAATTGGTGCCAGTTAGCAGCGCCCACCACTGATAAAATCGTTCAGAGTTTCACTCTGCTGTAAGAAAAGCACATGAACTCAGAAGAATAACACACACAGTTACAGTCTACAAACAGACAGTCTTTGTGATTAAACCTGAAGTTAATATCCACACAAAATTAGATCCAATTTAAAGTATCTAATTTGAGTTTGGTCATCTTTTTTCATCTGATGAATAGTCTGCGTGTTTTACTGTGTGTTTGTGTGAGGGATCATTGTTATGCACGGCCAGAACTTCAGCCTGCTGATGAATTAATGAGGCGTTGTAGTTTATTCTTTGAACCTCTTTGGGTTCTTATTTCTTTGAGTTAATTAGTTCACTGTGAGGTTGATAAATGTCCCGTCAAGATGTGGAGTGAAGAAACGTGAGTGCAAATCAGTTTTTCTTTGAATTGTTTATTGTTATGTTTGCTGTGGTAATCATTACATGGCCCTGATTGTTTTCTGTCACTGGGATTATATGAGGCATAATGCGAGCAAAACTGCTGAAGTGTAAACAACTTTTTCTGCTGTTTCCAGTGTTCTTCAATCCACTCACATCTGTCTCCGTCTTTTTCTCTCCTGTTTAATCCTACAGATGAAGGTTCAGAGTTGAGTTCAGGCCGTGACACTCCTGCCAGTAGTTCATCCCGCCAGGGACTTGCTGACCAAACAGAAGAGAAAACCAAAAAAGAGAAGAAAAAGAAAGAGAAAACCAAGAAGAAGGAGAAGAATAAAGGGAAAGGGAAAGAAAAGGAAAAGAAGAAAGCAGAAGAGACAGAGGAAACAGAAAAGAAGAGCAAGAAAATAGGCTTTGCTCTTCTGAGGTGAGTAGCTGGATTTTTTTTCATTTGACAGAGTTTCTTTGCTGTTTTCCAGCCTCAGCTGGATGGAGCTGCACTAAGCTGAACCATCAATTCTTCATTTAAAGAATGTTTTAAAGGGATCTCTGGCTCAGGAGGTAGACCAGCCAATCACCTCTCAAAGGGATGAAGATTGATCATTTGCGTTCTCTCTCAACATTTAAATGTCTTTTGAGAAAGGTACAGATCTCCAACAGGAATGGATCATGTTTTCTTTTTGTTACTTTAGATTACTTTGATTATACCATTGTTTGTTTTGTTTGGTTTTTGAGTGGAGTTGCAAAGGATCTCTGAGTTGTAATTTCTTGTTAGCTCTGTTTTGTTCAGAGATGGTTGACTAGATAGTTTCTTAATGTTTGACCTAGTTGGTTTGTTGTGTTTGGTTATGCAGTTTAAATGCTTTCTTAAGAAAAATGAGAAGAAAAAAAGAAACAAAACAAAAAGTTAAGTGACTTATTTTGTTGAAAATGACGGATAGATCTAAAAATCCACTAAAATTGAACAAGCCATATTTATAAAGTCATTAATCCTATGCATCAACTTATGGCTGGGGGATGCATCAAGGATATTCGATGTATCACAATATTTTCAATTTACGATAGTTAAGATGGCTATAGTATAAATTGTTCAAATAATAAAGGTTCGCCGTCAAATTCACTGTGAGGATGGTTTATCTGATATCCAATGAATGCATGACTAGTCCCTCCGCCCTCCCAACCTGAAAAATTTCTACCAATCATGCTGCGTGCAGAAAACAAACAACATGATGACAACGAGACTTTGAGCTGAGTCGTGAATGAAACAGTAACTGAAGAGGAATCAGATGAACTAGTCTGGTTCCAAAGAAAAATAGCACTGGATTAATAATCTGGCAATAGTTCAGTTTTTATATGGAGGATGTTGAACAAAGTGAAGTAATTTGCGAAACATATTGTAAAACTATTCCCACAAAAGGTTGTTACTCAAATGTATTTCACCGCCTAATGAGATTGTCCTTTTACTGCCGTTCATAGGTAGAACTAGCCTGTTAAAGTAAGGAGTCACCCTGATTCTGCTCAACTTTTAAAATACAGAGATTTTGTTTTAATATCTTTGTTCTTTTATTGTTTTAGTTTAACTCAATTGATGAGTTTTATTTCAGAGAAATGATTTCTGTATAACTGGCAATGCCATGTTTAAAATGTCTCAAGTACCAATAAACCATTTTGAAAAAAAAAGTAGTCCGTTAAAGTGAACCTGGAGATGTAGGTAGGATTCATTTAGCGCTATGCAATGGGAAAAAGTAACTAAAAACTACTCATATATTTTCTCGTTCTGTCGGCTTTGCGATGTATGTAGACTTGTTGCCACAGCAACTGACAATGACGCAAACTTACATATCTGGATTCAGTGCCAAAAATACTTGAACATTTTCCCACATAGTGTGGAACATTCAGTTCGTTACAGTTTTATGCTTTTAGACTTGATGTGTATTTTGCTTTTATTAACAAGTGATCGCTGTGGTAGATTAACCACCGCTGCCATTAGCGATGCCAACACAGTGGTGGTTGATTAGCTAATTTAAACACCTGCTTTACTGATGCTCAGACGTCACACAGCAGAGTACTTTTTATGGAAGCAATAACTGATGCTGCCGTCTACAGATCAATTTTGACGTTTTTGAGCAATGTGTTCCTGTTTTCAGGGTTCCAGCCTTGCAGGGGACCATGCCCTGACGTTCCCCTTTAAATTTTCTCAACTTTTGGTTGTTGTTCAACACAAAGGACACTTCAGGACAATGTTTTTATTTACTGGACTGTATGTCAGAGTTGTGCACAATGCACCAACCTGACTCCAGCTGACAGCAAATCTATTCTTAAAGTGAAAATCGTATCCATAAAGTCTGTCACTGAAAACCATGTGCACAGTTTGCTCTGCCTCACACTAAAGAGACAACATAAATGCAGGTCTTTTTTTCCCCTTGTCAAGCTTTATCTTTTGCTCCCAGGTACAGGCAAACTACTCTTAGTGGTGCCCCAGTTTCCTTAAGAGGTGGTGAAAATTATCTGCAGGAGCTATTTTGTGTTATTAACTTTAACACTATCTCGCAGTGTGAATGCAGCCTTCATAGAGACACAGCATGAATAGAGCAGAGTGTTTCAATGAACAGTTTGCGCTTTCAACTAAAAAAAAAAAAACAACCCATAACAGTTTTTCTGTTTCTTTTCTTCACTGTGCTACTTTTTGAAGTGGGTTTTCACATGACCATTACCTAGATACCGATCTTAAGAAAAACACTTGCATGCAATTTGATACTCAAAATATAGCTGCAGCTTTTCAAAACAGGCTTTCAAAAGCAATCTGTTTGAACCAGAACACAGAAAAACACTTCCAGATTTCAAAGTCCCTTTTTATCAGTGTTTTCATCTCAAAATTACATGTTATTTAAAGTGAAATATTGGACAATTAAACTAATGCGAGCAAATTTAGTTTAATTGAATAAGTTATGTGCTTTTCTGTAACAGTTTGCTGATTTCTCTTATAGTTTCATTCATATTCTGAGCTTTAAAAATTCTGAAGCTGCATACTGACCGAAACATTGCCTTCCTCATGACCTGACAGGTCACACAAGGGAACATTGATCAGAGAGATAGCAGAGATGTGCCTGGCAACTCTGAATAAGCTGCAGAGACCCATAGCTTAGATGGCTGAACTGATTCGTAGGACACGTATTAGCTGTACCCGCCGTACATCTGGTCTTTTTGGGAAATGGAAAGCCATTGTTGACAGAAAGTCCTGTTTACAGTTTTATCAGAAGTTTTCTCACTTTGTTCATCACAAAATTCAATAACACGTGTTTCAGCTGAGTGCAGCTTGCACTTCAGGTCACATCAAGCTGATAGGACGCTGCAGCAGCTTTTTTTTTTTTTTTGCTGTGAATGTCATTGCAAAGAGTGAAAAATACAGTTCAATTTTGCCAGCCCTACTCACTCAAATAAACTGTGACTTATAAAAATTGGTTGCAAAAAATGGCTGCATGATAGTCAAAGACATCAGACATAAACCAGAAGTTTTTTATGAATTAAAAGCTCATTTAATGACTCTTAAGAAAAAAATTCAAACATACCTTTTTGTGACAACAGTTTTATACAACTATAGACATTTTTATTTAATGTTTTTTAGAACATTAAATAATGTTGTAAAAGGTTAGATCAGGGGTCTGCAACCTGCTGCTCCAGTGCCTCAAGTTGCTTTTTTGATCTTCCACACAGGCTACCAACTAATATTTTTTAATACTAATAACAAAAACAAGTTATCCATTTCCTAAAAGATGCTACTTTTTATCCCATCAGGTGGGAGACTGCGTGCCTTTTTAGTTGCATTATTTTGCCAAACCGTCCCACAAAAGGAAATACCATCCTCTTTTTTTTTCTAACAATATATGTTTTTATTTATTTTAAGACCTAAAAACAAGTTTTCTTCTTTCAAAATCCCATGTGACATTTGGTGAAACATACCTTTGGACTGTAAAGGTTGCAGACCCCTGAGTTGGATTATAATCCTAAAATGACACACACAAAAAAAAAAAGATCAGCAGTAAACTGAAGAAATATTCATTTTAAATGTTCCAACTTAATTGTTTAGTATCTCCATTTTGTAAGCAAGAAAGTCAACTTTATAAGATAAAGACTTTTTGTTAAGGCCTCAGATGTATTTTTTATGTGTGTGTGATTTGTGCACCACTGATGTATACATTGGTCCTCCCTGCATTAATTTTTTTCTCTCTTTAATCTAGTTGAATTACTTGACGTACCATGAGGTGTATTTCTTCACTCCCCTCACTTAAAGCTTATCATCTGAGGAGGTTTTAAGTGCTCCAGAGTTCAAAATAGGCTATGGCAGCACCACCAACCACTTTTGTTGATGACCGTTTTCTCATGCTACATGCATAAATAACATTTCTGTCTTCGAACATACACCTCTATTTCTTCTCCTGACTACCTGTTTTCCCATCACACTCAGCCACAAGCACTGTAAGAAACCATATACGACATCCAGTGATATTTTTAGACCTTTCCTCTACCCCTCATCACTCATCACCTTAAGAGTGTCTCGATAGGAGCCTACTGATAGTCTCAACCTTTCAATCCTCCTCTCTTCTCTAGTCATATTTCGGTATCATACCTCGCCCCCCTCTGTCTGTCAGCACCCACCTCTCCTAATCTTTGCATCATTCCAATTTTTCTTCTCCATCTGCTCCCCTCAGCTCCTGCTCCTGTATCTGCATTTGATTGCATGTAATGGTGGTAGACAAATTGGACCTATTCAGTATAGTTCAATCCAGGCAGAGCTGCTGATTTGTCATATTCATCTGAGGGCACCTTTGATTGGCCTAATGGTCTGGAGGGGTGGCAGTATGGCTTACTCAACCTTACTCAATTGTACTTGGTATATTGGAATATATGCTAAAATGCAACTGTTATATTTGCAATGATAACAACTATTTCTGTTTGTTTACAGTACCATTTAAATCTTATTTACATTTCCCAAGGTCAAGGTAGAAGAACTCAACATCATACAAGTGTTCACCATTTTACAGATTTCTTATATTTTCTTGATTTTTTTTTTATACATAAAAAGGCAAGTTTTAATATCAAACCAAGGTAATGTGAATAAGCACACATTACCATCCTCTTTTGTTTCTTAAAACAAATCTTAAAATTTGTTTTAAGATTTGTTGCTATTCAGTTTTAAGAGAAAAAAGCTATCCTAAGTATCCTGGAAAATAAAGTAATTACTCCCAGCATGAGATTTTATTAGCTCTGATTCAATGGATGTGTTAATCATGAAAAGTCTGGGTCTTCTTCAGAACACAGATAAACCAATGAAACCATGAATTTTCCTCTGTAGCACAAATTCCTGAAAAATATCCAGCGATCTGCTGGTGACCTGAAGTTCTAGTTATTTAGCAAAACAATGATCCA